ATAAATGAAATCAGTAAAATTTACAGTGAAAATGATTTATTAAAATAATAAAAGCATATGAAGTAGGATTAGACAGTCAAACGAGTACTCTGGGATTTTTTAGGTAGATGTAAGTTTAATGATACTTACTTGATTATGTACAAAAAAATATTTTTTTGTTACTTATAAATGAAAATCCATACGAAGATCTTTTTATATACCTTTTAAATAAAATATAAATATCTATTTATAAGAAACATATGATAAACAAAAACGCATTATACTATATGTTTTACATTAAAGCTATCTTGATATATCAAATAAAAGATCAAATATAAATCTTTGTATATATTTCCTATTCTTAGCTCACAAAAAAGTATTTTCTTAAATATTATATTTTATAAAAATCAAATTTCAATTTTCTAAATTATTATTTTTAAAAAGAATTACATTTGTTTATATTCTAAAAGAAGAGGTTAATAGCAATAAAAAACATAAAAACTTTGACTATGTTTTAATAAACTCTTAAATTTATTTTCAATTATTTTGTTTTTTTTTTAAAAAGTAAATATTTTATGTAATAACAGTAAATTAATTTAATATGATTTTATATCAGAAAAAATAACAAAGAATATTAAACTCCTCTTAAATTAAAATATTCTTCTTTTTTTATATTTTATTCATTAAGCTATGATAAATACTGTCACTAGGATCATGTACCCTAGCTATTTCAGGTAACCTTAATCCTTTATAAAAACTAGCATTATCTAAGAAAGCAAACCCATCAATAAAAATAGTCTTACAAGCACCACCTCTACAAAGAAACTATCATGCTTAGGCACATAAAAAAAGATAATCATCAGACTGAATAAACTGAAATTTACCATTAGAATCAATCAGTAAACTCCATCTCTGGGAAGGAGTGTAATCCAATAAATTAAATATTGCTATCTTCCTATCTCAAATATCTTATGATCCAATACTAAGTTAGTCTTAAGATCTTTTGAGGTAATAATGTGTACCACAACCATCTGATATCATAACAAAATCACTTGACTCTGATATATTATCAGTTAATGCTAATATGTTATGTTTATTTGTTAAGTAATATCCTGTAAAAGATTCTACTACGGCAAAAGAGAATACTTTGTGTAATAAAAAAGAAATAACATTAAAATTTAAAAATGATTACTTTAAGAAAAAGAAGTGTTTTAACTGTTAAGAAATTTTATTTTGACAGTAGAAATTTTTAATATTTAATATTTTGATTATATTTTTTGATTATTTATTTAATTTATAAATATTTTAATATATTTAAATATTTTTAATATTTTAATATTTGAATATTTTTATAATTTTATATTTAAATTACTATTTTATTTTATTTTATAATTTAATAATATTATTTTAATAATATTTTATTTACTTATTAAATCATTCCTTTCTTATGATAATCTTCTAATGCTATTTCAGGAAACTCTAAAGATGGCAAAGTAAAAGACATTTTAGAATTAATCATTAATAACCCATTAGAATAAGTAGATCCACACAATCCTCCTGTCCAAACAAACCTATCTTTATTTCTTACAAAAAGTAATCTCCTTTAGTAGCTGAAATTTACCATTTACATCAAATAATAAACTAAACCTTTGTCTTTCAATACCTAAATATTCTGTTAGCTGTGCTATACCATCAATTTCATCTAATACTAACCCTGATGCTTTGTCTTGAAATATATAATGTATACCACACCCATCTGTTATGGGTATAAAATCAATTGCTTTGTGAATGCTATCTGTTACTGTTAGTATATTTTGTAAAGTAATGTATAACCCTGTATTCTCATCAATAAAGTATAAAGATTTTATAATTGTAAAAAGAATATCATACAACTTAGAAAAGAATGTATTTTAAAATGTCATTCACCTTTTGACTTTCAATACTAAAAAATTATTAAATTAACCAACCTATTAAAGTTTTAGTTAAATTTAAATTAAATTTTTAATTGGTTAGATAAAGGATTGTTTTATTGATTCATTGATTAAGGAGAAAAGCTTATAAAAAATAATATAATTTATGTCAATTTTAATCATTTTAAAAGTAATTTATTATTTTTAAAAATAAATTAATATTTAAATAATGTTAAATTTATAAAATAAAACATTATGAATTTATTGCTTACTTAATTAAATATTTTTTTAATATTGTTTTCTAATTATTTTATTAAAATTGTTATATTCGTATTTTTTTTAGAATAAATTACTTTTTGAATTGAATTATTTTTTAAAATTAAATTATTTTCTTTTTTTAAATTAATAAATCAGTCTTTAATAAGAAAATACTTTCTTATTAAAAAATTAATCTTTATAATAAAAATTTGATTAATTATGAAAAATTAATCAATAAAAAGTCTTTTGTTCTGAAAATGGACCAATAGAATTGTACTCCTAAACTTTGATCATCCTTTATGAAATGATATTCGATTAAAAAAAATATTAAAAAAATAATTAAAAAAATAAACCATGGCATTTGCAACAAATAAATTTCTTGACGAAGAGAGTGACGAACTAATAGATACTGACTTTGATGATAAGCACATATCTGCTAATGCAATGAATGAAGATTTTCTAAATGATGTGACTATGTTTCAAATGAGAATGAACTTAATAAATACAAGTTATTAAGTAAGAAAAAGAAAGATAAGAAAAAAAGAAGGAGGATAAGAAATCAAGCGTGGCTAGAAAAGTAGTGAATTTACCGGCATCCCAACCATACGTAAGAGTAGTGGATGGAGAGGGAGAAAGATTATGTTTTAAATATAACACTAAAGTAAGTGAATCAGCCATGAGTGCTATGCCTAGAAGTGAATTAGAAGATCATGAATTTTGTGTTAGATTTGACTTAGATTCTGTGGATATTCTTAAATTATCAGAAAAATTTAAAGCAGACAATGTTATTTATCCAGAGCTAACATCCCCAAAGAACATTACACAGGAATAGATGGCAATACGAAACTGAGTGTAATAAATTGGCTTGGCAATTTGTTTCTTTAAACCATGTTTTACTTTATGGAAAAAAGGGCTTATTCAAAGGGCTGTTGACTCATACAGAAAATACAATAAGCAAAGTAGAAATAGAAAAATCATTAAAGAAAATGATTTACCAGAAGGAATGGTAAAAAGAAAACATTCTGATGATTCTCCTACCTCTGCAACCATTTCATACACAATAAGAGGAATAGTTAAAAAATGTAAAATAAGAATAGACATTGAAACAGTGAATTATGAAAAAAATAAGTGAAGAATTTAAGTGTAAATACACTGTATTTCAAGAATTTTTTGATGAATATTCTTTTGGATTGAATAAATGGGAAACAAAAAATAAAGATAATGAATTGGCTATAAAGATAGCATTCCTAAACATAGACAATCCTTCTTTTTGGAATGCAATAAAGTTACTGGACAAGACTACCATTCTTAAAAAAGCTGTTCATGCTTACAAGAACAAAGATACTTTAGTATCTGAAGATAATACTATACAGGATGTGGTTACCAACACTATCCGGTCTGATGAGCTTAGTGATATGTTATTTTTTTCTCAAAAGAAAGAATCTTAGTTTGTTCAATAAAAACTATATTTTTCTTATTTTATGCGCATAAACTGTAGATTATTTTTTTTATAGGGTTATGCATAAATTAAGCTTCTTTAATAAAATTTAACACAAAAATTTGTTTCCTTTCATAAATTTTAACATTTAAATAAAAATTTATAAAAAATTAACCAATCAAATATTTAATTCTTTAATTTCCACTTCAAACCTCTTTTGTACTTCATTCAACATAATAACATCCTTATCATCCATAATAAAAGACACAGCCATACCTCTCGTATCAAACCTTCCAGCCCTACCAATCTTATGCAAGTAAGTCTCAGTAGATTCAGGCATATCATAATTAATTACCAAATTAATATCCTGGATATCAATTCCTCTCGAAAATAAATTAGTTGTAATCAGAATTCTGTACTTTAATTTCTTAAAATCATTGGTTCTTTCAATCCTCATCTCACTCCTCATTCCAGAATGTATGGCTATGGCAGGAAAAGCATTCTTTTTTAAATAAGTTTCTACTGCGTTAGCCTCTCTTTTTCTTTCATAAAAATTATACATTGATTGAATTCCAATTTGTCAAGTAAGTTTTCTAAACTAAGTAATTTATCAGTCACTTTTAAAGTAAAATTGTCTTAAGCCGTGTAAACTAAATTACTTTCATCTCCTATGATGATTGTATGAGGATTTTTAAGAATTTTAGTGCTTCACTCCTTGTGTAATCATTAAAAGTGGCTGAAAAAACATGGTTTGTTTTTTAGGAGGGTAGACATAAAAATTTGCTGTACTGTCCACCTACTTCCTAAATCTTGAGTAAATGGTCTGCTTCATCCAAAATGAAATGTTTTACGTGCCTTAAAGTAATTTTCTTTTCTTCTAAGAAGATCCAAAGTTCTTCCTGGGGGTACCAATAAAAATGTTAGGATAAGTTTTTAGTTTATGAATGTCTTCTTGGATTGAATTACCACCTGAAAAATAGTCAACTTTTACTTTATCGAAATTTTTGGCAAATCTTTTGTACACTCTCAAAATTTGATGTGCCGTTTCTTTTGGTGTTCACTAAAACCAATATTTGTATCTCATTTTCTATGAAATTTAACTGTTGGAGTGTAGAAATAACAAATACGGCAGTTTTACCCATCCCTGATTTGGCTTGTGCTAGTACGTCTACCCCTATGATTGCCTTAGGTATGGTTTTTTGTTGTACCTCACTCGGATGCTCAAACTGAAATCTTACATTGACTGTAACAACATCTTTTAGAGAAAATCAGTGAACTGTGCGGTGTTTGTGGTGGCTTCTTCTTCTTTTCAGGTGCTTCTTCGTAGTCTTGTAAATGATCACTCATTGGGTAAAAATATTATTTTTTTAAATTATTTTAAAAACATTATTATATTTATTGTTTTCCCTTTTTGTGGTGATATAGTCTAGTGGTATGATGTCTGCTTAGGGTGCAGGAGGTCCCGAGTTCGAATCTCGGTATCGCCCTTTTTTGAGATTTAATGAAAAAAATAATACTTTTATGTGAAAAATTTAATTTATTTCTTTCTATTTATTAAAATATTATTTTTTTAATTTTAAAAAATTTTACCCATGGGTTTATCAGGAAGTAACAGACACAAAAGAACAAAAACAGGAGCAAAGAAATCAAAACATTGCAAAAAAAGAAAATTTCATTTGGCAAGACAGCCATCAAACACCAAAATTGGTGATTTAAAGATCCAAGAGGTAAGAGTGAGAGGAGGCAACATAAAAAGAAGAGCACTCAAGATTGACTCAGAGTATTTACCTTAAAAAGTGACCAGTTAACATTAAAAAGCAGCTTTAACCAAGTGGTTTATCATCCTTCCTCCACTGAATTGATGAGAACCAATACCATTACAAAAGGTGCTGTGGTTAGAATGAAAGAAAATCCTTTGAAAGAAAAGATTAATTTTGAATTGTACAAGGGAGAAAGATCCTATTTTTATAATAATTTAATGCAAGATAAAGTTTATGCTGTTATTGCTTCTAGGCCTGGTCAATGTGGCAGGGCTGATGGTTACTTCTTACAAGGAGAAGAATTAGCTTTTTATATAGATAGGCTTAAGAAGAGAAATAAAATAAAATTAATTTTTAATAAATTTTATAAAAAAAAAATTTTATTCTTTTTTTTTTAAACTCAAAAAATGCTTTTTTTTTATTTTAACAGGGAAAAAAAAATAACTTTTAGAAAAGTTTGTATATTTTTCTTTATAGTTGAATTATTAATTATTTTTAATTTTTTACTGCCATGTAGATTCTCTTTTAAATTAATCTATTTTTTACAAAAAAAAAGAAACAATGTAAAGAATTAAAAGAATAAATATTTGATTATTTGTGTCTTGTATACTGGGCATTCGCCCGTATTTAAGATAATTATTTTATAAACTTTTGTCCTTTAACGATTTATTTAAGGTTGTTCTGCCTTGTTTTGTTGTGGTTTCCTTCTTCAACTTCATAGGGTTCATTTTTTTTAAAAAAAATATTTTTTAATTTATTTGATAATTTGTGTTCTTAAATTAAGCATACCTTCTAATTACACTTATAACAAATACTTTTATTTTTTTTAAATTTTTTTCTTAACCAATCTGTGGGATAAAGTAGTGTTGTAACAAATTACAATTATTTAGAAAAAGGTTCCTTATATTAAACAATTTTCTTATTACTTTATTAAAAAACTTGTATTTTTTTAAATCATTACAAATAATATTTATCAGCCATTCTTTCTTGTATATTTAAAATACAAGTAATTTTTCTATTTTTTTTGATAAATTATTCTTTTAACTTACAGTATTTGATTATAAAAAATAAGATTGTAATAAAGATGAGAAATCAAAAGAAAATAATAGACCTTTAGAAAATAGACTCACAAGAGAAAAAAATCTAAAACAAAGTTACTTTACGTAAGTTAACTTAGTAATTTATTGAAATACAACCTATTTAGATCAGTGATGCAAGATATGGAACAATTTTACTCAAATATCAATAAAAAAGTATAAAAATATTTGTTTATTTTATTACTAAAGAGACATTAATATTACTCTTTTATAAAGTTATCTAAAGGGAGTTTTTTAACTATACATTTAAATTTTTGTAAAATATTTTTTATGGTTTTTTTTTGAAATTTCATTAGTTTTTAAAAATTTAATTTGGTAATTATTTTTTATGAAAAAGAAACTTTACAAAAGTAAGAATTTGTTTAAGCATTTCTTTTTTTATTATTTTTTTACAACCTTGGTAAAGTTTTTATTTAATTTTAGAGTATTAATTCCAATTAACAGTACAAATTATGTTAATCTGCAAATAAAAAATCGGGACTTTAATTTTGCTTTTTCGATTATTGAAATATTTGTTCAGTTGTTTTTTACAACAAGATTTGTTGATAACATTGTGAAGTACTAATGTTATTTGAAAGATTATTGAGTAAACTTGTTACTATTTTATTTTAAGAACGAATATTTGAATTTATCTTCTTTAGATATAAAAGCAATCATTCTCCTTAGCTCTATCGCGTTCACCAGTTGTACTTTTCAATAAATTAATCTCGAATGACTTGAACTAATTAGAATTCGATATCATCTGCTTAAATTTTATTTTCGTGTACTGGTTAACCTATGTTTACAATAATCTTTTTATCCAATATATTTTATCTTTTTTTTATATACTTGTAGATATTCCTTGTTTTGATTTCATATTTCTTTAAATTGTACCAACAATGATTAGTTATTAAATATTATAGTATCCCTTAAAATTGAATCAAATATTCTGTGTTACGATCGGTCAGAAACCATACTTTTATATTTTAGATAAATATTCAATTTTAGCTGATTTAATTGAAATAAAACGATCCTTTTTAGCAATTTCCATTATTCAAATTTAAATGACTCAACCAGTGGTTGATATCAAAAAAAGGTATATAATACACCTTTTATTGCTTAACGAAAGGAAATCTGTAAAAAAATTTTCTATGCCTTCTATATAAATATTAATACTTTTTTGATAAAAACATGCCTCTAAAGAAAGTGAAATTTATCGGATAAAAATGCTCAATAAATTTAAAAGAAAATAGGGTAACTACTTTAGGATGTACACAATAAGTGAAAACGCACAAACCAAAAAGAAAAAGCTTTATACAGACTCAACATGCTGTTTAGCATTTAGAAAAATTTTGAGAAATTATTCAAATTTAGAATGGATCAAGATTTCCGATTCTCAGAAAAGCAATTCGGGTTTAAAAGTAAAAGAATCAGTAATTCGCAATTTGGCACCTCGATTTGACTTCAAAAACAAGGTATAGGCATGCTAGTAAATATTATTATTAATGGAAAGTTTCTCATTATGATACTTTCAATCATTGATTGGAATATTTATTTTAGATATGACTGAAGTGATCGATTTAAAAGCATTTAAAAACAGTTTTAAATAAATTATGTTCTATAATAATAAAAACTTTACAAATAAAAATAAAAAGATACAATCGGTATAAACGCAATACCTAACTGGTGACGTGGCATACATAGACTACCATAAATGTCTTTAGACATTTTGAAACCTTATCATAAAGCGAACAGAAAATTAATCTTAAAAGTTGATAAAGCCCAAGATGCAAAAATACATTAAATAAATTCATAGTTAGAAAAAAAAACAAAACAAACGTTCTCTGGTACCACTAAAGCCTCGAGGAAGATAGAACTGATAATAAAACTGACATCTGAATCAGTCCTCAGTTTAATGCTCTTTAACATACTTATTGATGATTTACCAGTGTTTAAAATGCAAAACAAGAGTATTACAATAAAAAATCACATTCCGCTATACGTCGATGACATATCCGTCGTCGCCAAAAAAAGAACTCTAAACAGATAGCAATCCAGAAAGCTGTAGAATATGGTTTGTGGATAGGCTGTAGTTAAATCCAATAAAAACTGGAGTTTCAACTAAGGAAGAGATGAATCTAAAAAATAAGAATATCCTAAATTAAACAGCATAAATATTTAGAAATTGCATTAAGAATCATTGTTTGCAACTTAAAAGAATAAATCACAAATGATAAAAAATTAATAATTAGATATGGAAAGCTGAGTTTTGGGACTGTGGAATGCAAATAGAAGAATAACATTTTTTTATTCACATTTCAGAGCACTTTCTTTATCTAGTCTTAAAATAAGGCATAATACGTTTGTCAGGTAAATATTAGTGTAAGAAATACGGGTTATTTTTATTTGACCAATCAAAAAGTTCACCGCCAATCCAGTTTCACAGTTGTTTTTACCGTGCACTTTTACTTACTATCTTATTTGTTTATTTAGATTTATTAAAATATTTGGGTGAGATTCTGGGTCAAATAAGAGAAAATTATTTAAATTAGAAGTTCAAAATTTTTAATTTTTTTATTTGACTAATCAGAAACTACTATAATCAATTTATAAAAGAGAAAAATTTTATGAGAAGATAACAAAATCTAAAAGGTCATTGAAACTCTTGAAGCAAAGTTTGAGTTGGATTTTATTTTAAAAAATCCTATAGAAAACTTTTGAAAATCTTCGGAAAATAATTATAGTATTAATAGAAGAGGAATGCTCATATAACATTATTAATGTAAAACATGTCTAAACTATATTATTTCCCATTTTATCACAGTTTATATGCTTTTAATAAGCTCTTGAGAGGAGATCATATGACGACAGATAGAGTTTAAAGGACGATATTGAAAAGATCCAAAAGGGAATATACTAGCAATAGTTGAATACCTTGAAAGGTTGTAGTAAAAACGAACCATCTTTGTCATCCAAGCAAAAGGAATTCATACTTCTGTAACCAAAGCCTGCAAGGTAAGGTAGACTTAGGCAGTCAATAGATTGCAAGGGTGAGTTTTAGCGAGTGAAAGACTCGCAATATCTTGAATATACCTAATTATGTAAAAACAGATATTATTGTATGTTTCTTTTGAGTATGTATTATACTTTGTATAGAGGGTTAGCGAATAGATCTTTTTTATGAATTTTCCATCCCCGGGCAACAAAAAAAATCGACAAACTAACATTTAAAGAAGTTTAGGTATAAACGCTAAAAAGTTTTCTAATTAATTAAATTTTTTATGGCCATTTTAAGAGTTTAATATTTTAATGTATAATTATTTTGCATTAAGCCACATTACTAATCCAATTCCAAGTTTTTTTATACGTTTTTGTGGTTGTTTTATGCAAAATTATTATCTTCAAAGTAAATAAATTAATTTATTTTTTATTAGAAAATTTAAACATAATATAATAATATTTAATTATTATTTACTTTTCTTCTTTTAAACTAATTTATCAATAAATAAATAATTTAATTTTTTTCTCTTTTTCTAAATTTTATTTATGTGATTTAATTAAACTAACATTATAATCTAATTTTATTCCAACCTTACAAAAAACATCAAAATCAAACTAACAAATCTTTTGACTCACATCACTTAACCAAAT